CCGCCCCCAGTGCCCCAGCCCTTAGGTCCCATGCCCCCGTGCCTGGCAGCCCCCCGATGCCCACAGGGTCCCCAGGCGCCATGTGCCCCTGCAGCCTGGGCACCTGGGTGCGTGCCCAGGGTGACACCTACCAGATGGTGGCCGACGTCAGCCATTTTGAGCCCCCTGACATCGTGGTGACCACCTCCAACTGCCATGTTGCCATCCAGGCTGAGAAGGTGAGGCACGCTGGGGCAGCAGCATTCCCACCCCCTGGCCATGGAGCAGTGGGGGTCCTGCACCACGGCACCTGCTCCTGCAGGGGTGGCAACTGGAAATGGCCCCTGCTTGCATGGGTCTAAATGGGAACTCTGGCCCTGTTGCATTCTCTGCTGGTGGGAGCAATTGGGAACAGTCCCTGCTGGTGCTGGGGTAGCTGGAAATTACCCCACCCCCCAAGGCTGAGGGAAGTAGGACCTGGTCCCTCCTGGCAATGGAGTGACTGGGAATTGTCCTTGAGTCACTGGGTAACTGGGAACTGCCCTATTGAGCTCCCTGCTGGAGCTGGGGCGACCCGGAGCTGCCACATTGCCAGCACTGGGGTAATTGGGAATGTGCTGTGTACCACCATGCTGTGCCCCACGCACTGGTGCTGCCTTCCTGCAGGTGGCTGAGGATGGCACCGTGTGTGACACCTTCACCCACAAGTGCCAGCTGCCCGAGGACATGGACCCACTGTCGGTGAGCTGTGCCCTCACCAAGGCGTGCATTCTGGTGATCACTGCGCGGCGTCGTGCCAGAGCCCGCCCTGGCGAGCCCCTACAGATGCTGTACTGCAGTGAGGCCACGCTGTGAGCAGCACCGGGTGAGGATCGGCTTCTTGCTCTGTGATGCCAACCTCGGCACCATGGTGTAGCTTTGGTTGTGCTCATTGGCTGTGCCCCTTCCCCACCTCCAGCCCCTCAGTGCTCTGGCTCTGTTTATAAAGTTCTTTTATTAAATTAATATAAAAATCTCTGTATTTACATGGGGAGGATGCACAGCAGAGAGGAGGTAGGTCCCCCCTTCTCAGCCATGAGGTGCTGAGGAGGGGGGCAGTGCCCACCTGTGTCCCTGTGGACACCCTGGCCTGCTGCCCCTCTGCCCCCTGTGCTACCCTGAGCAGGTACAGTGCGGTGCCCATGGTGGGGGGTGAGTGCAGTGGCTGTGCCGAGGGGCACCAGGGGCTGGGGGGGCAGAGGTAGTGAAGTGGAAAGCCCCAAAAGCTGGC